CTCTGAAATAGCATGTCCTATGAGCTGTGTGGTCCTCGTGGTACCAACGCTCGATTTTGGCAACCGCATGCCGAAGCTGAACCAACTTGCAATGGCCCCGGCAGTGAGCAGCTTCGATCAGAGTGGCGTGTGTGGAAGTGAAACCCATCCCTAGATACTCCTAGAAACGGAGAAACGAGCGTACGATGCATGGTTCGATTCAGTGCTAGAGCAACCGAATCCAAACACTACGGAGCTCAATCATCGATAAATCTCCCAACGGCAAAACTCATTAATATCGAAAACTACCTGTAAGCCTCTAACGAAGCTTGGCTAGACAAAAGTACAAACAAGTATATACATTATAATTATAAATATGTTTCTCCGCCAAAATTTTAGCGACCATGTATACGTGAGCGCGTCATATACCATCATGTTTATATTGACTAAAATAAGCTGTTAACTGCTAAAAAAAACTCTAGTTGATCCAAACAACCCAATTTAGAGCATCTTCAAAAGCCTTTCTAAATTTCACTCTCTAAATCATTATTTACAGAGTCATATGCATAAAAATCGCTTTCTATATCTTTTCACTCTCCAACAGTTTTTCTATATCTCATGCGTACTATAGAGAGTCATTCTCGTCTTTTATTTTGGCTAGCGAAAAATCCGGAATAGAAGATGGCTATATTTGGATGACCATTTAGAAAAGCTGTTGGAAAGTAGTTTTTCACCAAAATCATTATTCCTAGCATTTAGGAAGGATATTGAGTCTCTTGGAGATGCTCTTACCCCCTCCGTCCGTTTTGAATTATTATTCAACTATCCAACTTAGAGCATCTCCAAGATCCTTTCTAAATCTCACTCTCTAAATCATCATTTGGAGTCATTTGCATAAAAATCGTTTTTTATATCTTTTCAGTCTCCAACAGTTTTTCTATATCTCATACGCACTCCAGAGAACCATTCTCGTCTTCTATTTTTGGTTAGCGAAAAATCCGAAATAGAATATGGCTATATTTGGATGACTATTTAGAAAAACTGTTGGAGGTTAGTTTTTTACCAAAATCTCTATTTCTAGCAATTAGGAAGGATATGGAGAGTCTCTTGGAGATGCTCTTACTTCTTCCGTCCCAAAATAATTGACGTTGTACCATTTAAGTTTTGTCCCAAAACACTTACATTCTCGCTTCCCAATAACATTTCTCTTTTTCTAATATATTTCAACCTCTGTCTCTCTATCTCTCTCCTTCTCATAGGGGCACTTTGGTCTTTAGCTACATCATTAATATTCGTGTACAATCCTAAAACATCCATTGTTTTGGGACAGAGAGAGTATAAAAAAATTAGCTGGTCTAAAAAGGGTCATAGTTTTGTGATGCTAATAAAAAGTTTTGTGTTGTTATTCAATTTGGTCATAGACCGAACAATGTCGGCTAAAGGTTAGGTTTCAGAATAAATTCATGACACAATCTTGTACAAAAACTATACTTGTGTATTGAGGGCTATTTATTTATGCAAGATGGATTGCCCACAGATCCGTAAATAAGCTTAATTTTGTAGGTTTAAGCATATTTGTGGGTTTACGGACAATCCAACTGGCATCACTATTGTGAGAAGCCTGACCAAATTTATCTTACCTATACTATGTCCGCCCCAAAATAAGTACATATCTCGTACTTTGAGGAGTAAACTAATCTCAAGTTTGACTAGAATTATAGAAAACAATATTAACATGTGTACATCTAAATAGGTCTACTAGAAAAATATTTGGTGTAATTAATCAAATGATATTTATTTGATATCATAAATATTAATATTTATTTAGTCAAATTTAAGATCAGTTGACTCCTTGAAATACCGGATGTGCACTTATTTTGAAACAAATGAAGTAATATTTTACCATAATTTTGTTTAAGTTTTGGCTTGTCCTAGAAAATTTGGCCATGGTCAACTACGGTAAATAGGAGCGGGAGGGCAAGCCACGGGCTGCCATTTTGGTTGCATGGCTTTGGCTTGACCGTCCAAAACAAATGAAGGGCGATGTTTCGGCTTGCTTGTGGTTTCACGTAGTCCACTATTTTTAGCAGTGAATTTCAAATGATAATGAGTACGTTTGGTTTTTGCCCATGCATATGCGTGCCCTGCCAAACCAGTTTGGTTGGCTGGATTTGGCTGTGCATAGGCTAGAAAGTGTCATCGGTTGCCTGTGCAATGTTGAGACAAAATCGCAGCAGTCATCGAAGCTTTGATGGTGTCCACGGTCAACGACCGAGACGTACGTGAGGCAATATCTCTTGAATCATGTATCCAAATTACAATCGGTTTGCATTATTAATGTTCCTCATGTTTTTCTCAACAAAACAGGATTCAAGTTAGTTATATTTTTATTGAGAAAAAAGTAGCATATAGACCTCACATGCATGTCATGCTCATAATATTTGGCAAAATTTGTCAGGGTCTAAAAACGGGTTAATGGCCCGATCGTAAAAAAAAAAAAGACAGGGTCTGAACGCAAACACCCTTTGTTCTCTTGATTTTTGGTGCTGCCCAATTTGGTTTGGTCAAGATCTGGACACCTTACTTTTTTGCCACGTTTTAGCAGCCATGCCCCAATTTGGCACAAACTAAATAGTGCCTATGCAACAATTTTAATTTGCCAAACTGGGTGGGTAGGATTTTAATGCGATCCGTTCTTCAATGTGAGAGCGATCCGCCCACCAATGTGAGGTGGGTTTTGATTTGAAAAGTTCAAGCTTTGCGAGTTTTGGTTTGAACTTTTCAAGTAACCAATACGGTGTTCGTTAAGGTTTTCCTTTACAATACGATAATCTTTACTTTAAGGTACGGTTTTGGCATAGCTCAAACTCTGAAATTCAAACAAGATTTGGAGTTCATAGAATAAAATGAAGTGACTTAGACATATATTTTTAGTTTAAACAATAACAAAGCCGCTTTAGAAAATTTTATGGCTAGAGATTGGTCAGACAAGCCTTGATGGATAGAGTACTACTTTCTGTTTTCTTAATAGGGTACTACTAGGGCCAGCTTGCGCACTTCTCCTCCCCCCCACCCCCACCCCCACCCCCACACCCACACCGTATCGTCCATTAAAAAAATCTGCTTCCCCGCCTTTGGCGTCGCCTCCCCCGCCGCCTCCTCACATCGGCCTGCTCCAAATCGGCGAACGCTGACCTCACCCTCGCCCCTGCTCCACCACCTCCCACCGCCCACGGCAACCTCCTCCTTCCCCTTCCCCCTCCCGCAACCATCGCGACCTCCGGTGAGCTCCGGCCCCATGGCGCCCCCGCTCCGACCTGACCCGGCCACCTCCAGCACCGCCAGGGCCCCTAAACCGCCCATCCCCATTCCCACCGCCTGCCCGGCCTTCCTCCCCCAAATCCCTTCCTTCTATGGCCGCTGGAGTTAGGGTTGGGGGCGGCGGTGGTGCGGTCGCCAGAGTTGGGCATCATCTTCTCCGCGCGGTCGTGCGGGTGGTGCGGGCGGTCCCTTCTTCTCCGGTGGTGATGACGACAGTGAGTTGGTGGCGCGAGCTCGTGGTGGGGCGCGGGTGTGTGCACCGAGAGGTAGATCCTGCACCCTCATTTTTTAGCATTTTCGTTTTTAATAACTATACGATGTTTTTTTGATAACTTGGAACTGTCGATAAACAGTTCTTGCTCCGCAACATAACTGAGAGAGCCTGCTGGGGCAGCAAGAATAATTTCGCCAGATGCCACGAGATTAGGCTACAACTTTAACTAAATAAAATACTGAATATAATAAAGTCTAGAAACACGTGGCAGGTGAGTAAGTATTCTTTAACAAAGGTTTACACCCGCAGGAGAAACATCTTCCGACATTGGCCTAACGTCAACATGCTTGTTCTTTAAGCATTGACCGTGTAACTATCTAACCAATGAGTAGTGTGCCATACTATCCCAAAACGAACATTCCAACAGCTAGTAATAATCTATATATAGAAGAAGAATCCGCATGCCTGTCCACCTGAAGAAAAGTTGCACGAGTGTGCCTCTATATACCTATTCCATGCCGGAAAATCATCCCCAAGAAACGATCAAAACTTTGGAAGAGTAGGAGTAGTTTTCTAGAGAAAAGGGAAGAACGCGATAGCTAGGAAGCGAAACTAGGAGAATGCCAGATCAGGGTGCGCGTCCGGCCGCCGGCAACACTACTAGCTAGTACCAGCTACGCTACGTATACGTAGCTACACGTCGCATCAGTCATCAACAAGAGGATCTACGCTGACCGCGTCAAACCAGACTCCCAGTGCGTGTGCGTGAACCACGCACCACAGACACACACACACACACAGGAGGCACAACTGCACAAGGCCGAGACGTCAGCCGTTCGCTCGCTCCCTCCATCCGGACCTCGGCACCATGTCGGCACAGCGTAATCCAAATGCATTCACGCGCTAATTTCTTTCTTAACAGTTAATCTACCGTAGTAGGAGTAATTAACAAAACCACGGCCACGAGATTTCATCTTCATCTCTATCCACATGTAATCCTCCCAATTACGCAGACCAGTACTCCGTCCTACTGCCGACCTGGTAGTAATTACAGGGGTGGTGTGTAACCGGTAGTTCGGGAAGATTGGGCCAGTATTAAACCGGCAGCCTTTTTACCGTGCGGTGGCGGTGGCACGCATCGATCTCCCCAGTTTGAACCGAACTTTTCAAGACGGCTATTCTGTCACGTTGCTTGCACGAGGCTCTGCTATATAGATAGAGGAAGGAGTAGTAGAGTAGATAGATACGCCGCAGCCGCCCGCCCCCCCTTGCCCGCGACGACTCTGCTGTGCTGCTCTGTTTAGTTTGCGTGGCCGGGTAGGGCAGGGCAGGGGAGGTTGGTTCGGTTCGGTCTTTGCATGCGCGGGCGACCACGTTGATGTGCTTCGAGCTGGCGGATCAGCAGCGCGGACCGCACGGCGGCGGCGCGGGGTGGCCGGCGAAGCGGCGTGCAGGAGCAGGAGGCGGGCAGGACGAGGGCGCGGGGATGGCAATGGCGGCCGCCGGCCCCGGGGAGGTGATGTCCGAGCCCTACCAGGCGCAGGAGCTGTCGACGATGGTGTCGGCGCTGACCCAGGTCGTGGCGGGCGGCCCGTGGGCCGGGTCCGCCGCCGCCGCCGCGCCGAGCGGGAGCGCCCCGGAGCAGCAGCCAATGCACGGCGGCTACGCGCACGAGATGGGGAGCTACCACGGCGCGCCATCGCCGGAGCACGCAGGTAACCAGCCAGCCTGGCCAAACACGTTTATTACTTCCCCCACAAGCTTTGCGCGCGCTCGCTCTTGCCGTGTTCCGCTGCTTACCGCCAAGCGCTTGCACGCTTTCCTTTAATCTGTGTTTTGTTACGACCTAGGTTTTGAAAGCCCCCGCTTGTGTCATTGTTTTTGTTTTTTGCTTGAGACGTGGCAGTCCTATGCTACATAGTACATAGTACTGTACTATGCAATATACTAGCTGTATGGTGGTATACTAGGCTATTCTTTTGTCGTCTTGACAAAAAAAAAGCACAATTCTGTACATGCATCCGCGCGCAGGAGATGCTAATGCCATGCCTTGTTTGTGAAACCTCTTTCCGAAAGCAAACAAAACAAACCATGATGTGCACATGAACGGTTTTTAGCATATTTGTTTTCAATCTTGTCGCGCCTCCACCTCTGTTGTTCATTGCATTTGCTCTGCACCATATCTCTATCGCGTGCTTAATGCTTTTTAATAACTTGGTCTGGTGGTCGAGTCATAATACGCGAGGTAACATTTGAATGCCTTCTTCAGAGCATGTAGTTTATCTCTTTCTAATCAAGGAACAGGCGCGGTGGTTAATCAATCTGGAAAAGAAGAAAGTACTAATAAGAGACAACCAATGAAATAAAAAGAAATGCGTAAATGAGGCACAATTTAGTTGCAAAAGGCACGATAAACATGGCGTCTCGACATGCGCGTGGCATCGCGACATGCCGTACTGTCCTGGTACCAAAACTTTCCACGGAACCGAGTCACATGAAGGAGCAGGGCAAGGGCAGTCTGGGCTCTTGGGCAGGGCATGCGTGCATTGCATCCCATGGTCAGCAGTCACCGCCATGTCTGTTATCTGTAGCGCCGCTGACATCAGAAGTGGAACGAACCATCATATCTGGAGTCTGGACACTGGACTGGACTGGACTGCAACCAAACGGCTCGCACAGTTGTACGCCCGTTCACCACCCTGATGCGCAACAACCCTTTTTTCGCAAATTCACTGCACCCTCCACAACGCAACAAGGGATACAGATACAGGCATACAGCTAGCATTAAGCAAGCCAGCCATCTCCATGTGGGGGCCGTTGGCCGTACGCTGCAGTCGCTACGTACGTGTGCGCGCTCCGCTTGCGTAATGCGTATTCCCTTTCTGGACGGAGGGAGTAGACTTCAGAGCTAAGATACATGCACGCTTCTTCACCCTTTGTTTGTTTATTTGTTTGTATGTTGCCAACAAGGATACCACACACTTCACAGAGGGCGTAATAATAAATTACTTTACTGATGAGGAAACCAAACGATTGCTGTAAAAGTTCCAGGGTCGCGCTGTCCCGTAGCACTAGTATTTTTTTTTTTTTGCCGTTTTGAAGTGCTTCCTTTTCTTTCTACTGGTTTCTACTTCATTTCGGGAATAAAACTCGTCGGCGTCGACAGAGATCGATCGATGCATTCGCTCTACATGTACGCTTGCAAAGTTAGATAATCCTGCTGTGTAGTGCGACGTCGCATTCACATGCAAAATATGCTCTGCAAGTGTTCAAAGCCGATCGCGCTAGTCGGTCGATCGTCATCTCCGCTTTTTTTTGGGTGCCTGGCTTATTAGTTATTACACACCTCTCACCTCGTGTGCCCGTATATATATTTCGCGCAGGCTCGGAGCTGAGCTCGGACACCCAGAGCGCGGGCGCGGCGGCCATGGAGGAGCACCACTCGTCAGCGGCTGCGCAGGAGGGGCCCGAGACGCCGCGGCGGCGGTACCGCGGGGTGCGCCAGCGGCCGTGGGGCAAGTGGGCCGCGGAGATCCGGGACCCGCACAAGGCGGCGCGCGTGTGGCTCGGCACGTTCGAGACCGCCGAGGCCGCGGCGCGCGCCTACGACGAGGCCGCGCTCCGCTTCCGCGGCAGCCGCGCCAAGCTCAACTTCCCCGAGGACGCGCGCCTCCACCCGGCGTCCACCACGGCGGGTGCGCCCGCCGCCGCCTCGTCGGCGCCTCTCGCCGCGGCGTCGGCCTCGATCTCCCGGCCGGCTGTCTACCCTGGCGACGTCCAGGGAGCGTCGGACTACGACTACCTGAGGTACCAGATGCTTCTGCGAGCGTCCACCGGCAGCCAAGGCACCCTCCTTCCGTTCTACACCGGCGGCGACGGCGGCATGAGCAATCCCTACGGCGGTGGCGGTGCCATCATGACCAATCCCTACGGTGGCGCCGGCGGTGGCAGCACGAGTGGGTTCCTGGGCTCCTACTACTCGTTCCCGCCCTCCTCTGTTTCTGTCGCCACCGTGCCATCCTCCACTTCCTCTGCTTCGGGATACTACTACTCGTCGCCGCACGACTCGCAACAGAGCGAGGCGTCCGCCGCGGCGGCCGACTGGAACTGGAAGAGCACGCTGGCCTGGCCCGACTCGAGCCAGTACCCGCCGCCACCTCACACTCAGTAGCGGCAGCAGCAGCTAAGACCCTCCACAATGGACGAGTTTGCCGTAAAAAAGGTACGTTCTGTAAACAGTATCAGGCAACGAGTTCTTTACGGCTGCAGTGTGAGGAACTATTGTGTGCTGCCTTAAACGGTAGACGTTCAAATAAAATAGTGTTTATATTAGTTTAAATAGGGCGGACGTACGGAGATCCATTCATGCATAAAGATTAATATTATTTAATCAATCAAGTAGCGACACAACTACTTAACCTCGCTTCCACTCTATTAGACACCACTAAAAATTGACATCACTCATAAATTTTCTCTTTCATCTCTAGCATCAGGCGACACGCTGTGGAAGACATAAGCAGCAGTCCAGGAATCGACCGACCCCTGTTCTTATTTCTTTTCTCTCGAACAATAAGGTGAGTACGGCTGGATGGAGACGGCAAAGCAAACCAACGCAGATCAAGAAGAGGAAGATGCTTTCATTTCTTTCGTGTATGACGACACCAAAGTGGTCTTTGTTTATAATAATAAATATATTGGGTTCTATATTTCCATAAGATAAGTTTTATTTATTATCATTTTTAAGAATGTGAATGATGTAAGCATTGAGAATAAGAATGCCTCTTTGTCTATGAATACAACAAATAAGCGGAAGAGAGTGCATGATATATCTTTGAAATTATGGCACTATCGTTTATGTCATATTTCGAGAGGGAAATAGAGCGATTGATCAAGTAATCAATTCTTCCGCCTTTAGAATTTTCAGATTTAGAGCAATGCATTGATTGCATAAAAGAAAAGTACGTTAAGAAAATAAAGAAATATATCAAACGAAGCGTAGGAATTTTAGAAATAGTTCACACATACATCTATGGTCCTTTTCCTACAAAGAGTGTAGATAGTTATGATTCATTTATAACATTCACGGATGACTATTCTCGTTTTGGCTATATTTATCCAATTAACGAAAAGATCGAAAACATTGGATAAATTTAAGATATTTAAGGTTGAAGTAGAAAATCAGCACAACTTAAAGATTAAGATAGTAAGGTCCGACCGTGGGGGAGAGTACTACGGTCGACATACCCCATATGACTAAGTTTCTGGACCCTTTGCAAGGTTCTTACAGGAAAATGGCATAGTAGCCAATATTCTACACCGGACGAGCCTCAGCAGAATGGAGTAGCTGAAAGACACAACCGTACCTTAATGGATATGGTGAGAAGCATGATAAGTTGCTCTACCTTACCGATAAGTTTATGGATAGAGACGTTAAAAACCGCCATTCATATTCTTAATCGAGTGAGTCAGTGCCCAAAATACCGTATGAGTTGTAGACAGGAAAGAAACCCTCACTTAACTATTTACGTGTGTGGGGTTGTCCAGTTGAGGCAAAAGTTTTTAACCCAGACATAGGAAAGCTAGACTCCAAGACAGTCAGTTGTCATTTCATTGGCTATCTAGAAAAATCCAAAGGTTATCGCTTCTATTGTCCTGACAGATAAACGAAGTTTGTAGAAATAAGACATACTATATTCTTGGAGGATGATATGATCAGAAAGAGCATGGTAGCGCGAGAAATTAGTTTTAAAGAGAAGCGGGTATACGTGGCCACTCCTATGGTTCAGGAGCCATTCTTCACGCTACCTGTTGTTACTGTACTAACAGTGCAAGACACTGTAGTAACAGCACCTGTTGTTAGTTCTCCTATAGCAACAATGAATGAATATGAGGAACACGTCCTTCAGGATCCCCAAGAACCCATTGTCACACATGAGGGAGAGCAACAACAGTCTCATATAGAACAAGTGTCATCTAACGAGGCCCCTAGAAGGTCATAAAGAGTCAGGAGATCAGTCATTCCTGATGATTACGAAGTTTATGAATGTGAGGAATTTCAAATAGAGGGTGGACCCACCTCATTTGAAGAAGCCATGAGAAGCGCTCACTCATCCAAGTGGCTTGGAGCCATGGAAGATGAAATGAAATCATTGAAAACCAACGGTGTTTGCAACTTAGAAACAATTCCTAAAGGAGCCAAGACAGTAGGCTGTAAATGGGTCTACAAAACTAAACATGACTCCAAAGGAAATATAGAAAGGTTTAAAGCGCGACTTGTGACAAAATGTTTCATGCAAAGAGAAGGCATATATTACAATAAGATATTTTCTCTAGTCTCATGTAAGGATTCTTTTAAAATCATAATGACGCTTATAGCACATTACGACTTAGAATTACATCACATGGATGTAAAGACGGCGTTCCTAAACGGGGATCTGGAGGAAAATGTTTACATGGCACAACCGAAAGGTTTTGTTGTGGAAGGAAAAGAACGTATGGGATGCCGCCTAAAGAAATTCATTTATGGATTAAAACAAGCTTCAAGACAGTGGTATTTAAAATTTGATAGTACAATAAGAAAGTTTGGGTTTTAAGAAAATGTAGAGGATAATTGCGTTTATGCAAAATTCAAGAATGGGAAATACATTTTCTAGTCTTGTATGTGGATGACATCTTGCTCGCTAGCCGTGATGTTAATCTACTATTGGAAACAAAGAAGTTCTTGTCCTCGAAGTTTGATATGAAGTATCTCGGTGAAGCTTTATTCGTCCTAAGAATAGAGATTCACCGAGATGAAGAAAATAGGGTTTTAGATTATCGCAAAAGACATACTTAGAAAAAGTTCTAAAGAAATACAATATGTAAAATTGTAAGTCTTCACCTGCTCGCATGGTCAAGGGCGACAGATATAGAGAATTTTAATGTCCTAGGAACCAATATGAGATCGATCAAATGAAAGCGGTTCCATATAGTTCAGCTATCGGAAGTTTACAGTATGCTCAAGTGTGTACTCGCCCTGATTTAGCATTTGTTACCGAGTTACTTGGCAGATATCATAGTAATCCAGGAATAGAACACTGGAAATTAGTAAAGAAAGTTTTGCGTTACCTACAAGGTATGAAGGGTCTCATGCTAACATATAGAAGATCCGATTCCCTACACATAGAGGGGTATATAGATTCTGATTATACGGGAGATGATAGAAAATCCACGTCAAGATACATATTTACTCTCACAGAAGGAGCTATATCGTGGAAAAGCTCAAAGCAAACCATCACCATCATCCATAATGTATGCCGAGTTTGTAGCATGTTATAAGACCGCAGGGCAGGTGAATTGACTGAAGAAATTCATGCCCAGGTTGAAAATGGTAGACGACATACATAAGCCACTTAAGTTATACTACGATAATAATCCAGCAATATATTATGCTCACAACAATAAGTCAAGTGGTGCCACCAAACACATTGATATAAAGTATTATGTTATGAAACACAAAGTCTAGGATCATATAATTAGCCTTGAACATATAAGAATAGAAAAGATGCTCGCGGATCCACTTATAAAAGGCTTACCACCCAGTGTGTTCAGAAAACAATTAGCCGACATGGGTTTAAGGGAAAGCCTATGATTCTTGGACAATAAGGGCCTAGTCAAGAATCTGTTTCAAAACATAGGAGTGCATTGTAGCTGTTTAATCTAATGACAATTGACCATGACGATGAGGCACGCTCTATGCACTGATTTATGATGGAATGAGAAAAGATAAAGTAAGTTGAGTTTTAAGTAATAAGATGAGATCAAGAGGGAGATTGTTAGTGGTGATCTCACCAGCTCGGCCCAACGGTCGAGTTGGGCCTTGATATCGCGCCCTGATCGGGGGCACCCAACACTACATGGTTGGTGGGCCCCCATCACACTGTCCTATATAGAGAAGCGGGGGCCGATGACTCCCTTAACGAGGTTGATTGAGCTATAGTTTCCACCGACAAAACCCTAACACCGATCTAGAGGGGGTGCGTAGCTAGTGACGGGAAGCCACCACCGTCTTCTCCACTGGGACACCGTGCCACTGCTGGACCGCACCATCGGACTCCACAGCAACACGGATATCGCCATGGATAGCTCTAGCTCTTTTGTCAAGCCCTTCGACGTTCGGTGATGTCTCACCTCTCACCCTCTCCTCTCTGTTACTCTATTTCTTCATGTACTTGGATGAACTATATCTTTTATCACAAGTAGAAGAGGTTGTACCCCCAAGATCTATGCCTAGTTGATCCTATAGTATCTATCAATGGTATCAATTGAGCCTAATCTAGGCATAGATCTAGGCTTTGGGTAGAAAAGAAGAAGAAATTAGGAGGTAATTCGATTTTTTATCTGGATGAAACCTTAACCCTGACCCTAAAGGGGAAAGGATGGAGAAGGGGATGAACCTACCTGGGTTTTTCTTGCCTCCGTCGACACCGTCGTTTGCACGGGAAGAAGACCGCGCCGCCGCTTCGCCGGGTCACGGGGAGGGAGCCACCGAAGGACGCGGCCTCGCCGCCGCGTGTACCCTACCGGGATTGGGCACAGGGCACCGCAGCAAGACCGCTCGACGGTGGCGCACTCACCCTCTGGTGAACACTCGCGCCAGCGAGGGGACCTACGGCGGCGCCGCCAACCTCATTCCTCCGGCTGTGCTGCGGGTGGCCGTCGTTGTTGCTCTGCTTCGCGCTGAGAGAGTGAGAGGGAAGGGAATGAGGCTTGGGTTCGGGGGGAGAGCGCCGTCGTGCCGTTTTGATCAGCCGAGATGCGCGCTCAGTCATCGATCTAAGATGGACGGCTGCAAGTGCACCGGGCCAGATTCAGCCCAGGCGGGCGAGTGAAATCCCGGCCCAAGCCCACGTTGCGGCCTAGGAGTGGGGGAGCACGGGCACGAGCCACCGCCGCAGGCCAAATTTGCTGCTGGTCAGCGACAGTGCGCATCGCGCAAGCAGTTTCGGCCCAAGTCGCACAGTTATTTTTTTGGTTTTGTTTTTTAATTTTTAGAAGTAAATTTTGATGATTTTTTACTAGTTTAAATCTCTTTCCAAATTTAAACCAACGGGGTAATTTTTTTCAGAGAGTAAATGAATACTTTTGAAAAGTAGATAAAGTATTTTTCATGTTTCCGCTGCGAATGATGAT